CGCTGACCGGCCGTGCTGCTTCCTTGCAGGGTGTCTTTTATGAATAATCAAAAGCCGCAGAAGCCGACACTATCGGGCCAGCGCTTTAAAACCAGAAAAAGAGGTGAGTTACTGCTCCGTGCCTGCTGCCGGGGTCGGCTGTCTGTGCTGGGCATACATCGGTTTCTGTCGGTAAACTCGTCTTTATTATCATAGAATCATCATCGCAGAATTTTAGGGGTTGGAATGGACCTTAGAGATCATCTAGTCCCAACCCCCTGCCATAGGCAGGGACACCTCCCACCACACCAGGTTGCTCAAGGCCTCGTCCAGCCTGGCCTTGAACACTGCCAGGGCTGGGGGAGCCCTGGGCAACCTGTTCCAATGTAAACTCGCCTGCCTTTATGGCCTTTTGGCAACTCTCGAGACCCCATTAAGTGCAAGTCTTGAGGCTAACTCTGGCACTAGGGTGTTCCCCGTGGTAATAAATATTTGGCAGTAAGAGTTGCCACTGAATTGAGTGTGATAACCTTGGCCTGAGATATGGTCATTCTGGAGCTGTGCTGAGCGTGTTTAGCCTGAAAGCAGAAGTATCTAGTACCCCTGAATTACAGGGGGGCTCCAGGATGGCCAGGCTCCAGCACAGGCTTGTTGTAGGTGAATACATACATCTAAGCAGCATCTAACCTAGAAAGAATTTCAGTTCTAGCCTCTGGATAAAGGCTGCGTTGTCCCCGTGATATTATAAGAACACCTGGTTTAAATTTTTAAAAACTGACAGAATGACCCCACAACAAAAATCCCTCAAGCCTATCCACCCACCAACATCCAAAAAAACCCCAAGGCGTAGGATGTGCCAGTGCCTGTCTCTGTGTGCACAGTTACTTCCAGGAGAGGAGTTAATGACTGAAGAGGTGTGATGAGTAACTCATATTTTGATAGGGCTGTTTTCAAACCCAAAGAGGAAGTGAGGACAGCTCTTCAAGTTAGTTTATTACTGTTTTACTAAGACACTAGCAGTGTTTCATTCCAAACAGCTTTAAGGATGTGCAGACCAAAGTATGTGTTGATTTACAGAACCTTTTTTTATGTCAAAGCACCTTGAGAAGCCTGAGTGAGAGAGTTGGATCTAGGCTGTCCAACAGATGAAATGTTAGCTGCCTGGGTTTGAGTCTCTTTTTAAGCATTTAACCATAGTTTGGCTTCCAAGCAACTCTGCTGGAATAATGAGCTTCATGGATCTGTCCTGGGAGATGACTGATCCAGTATTTCCAGACTTCAGGCGGCTGTTACCAACATGTTAGTTCTTGCCCTACATGTAGGGACACTAGTATGCCCTACTAGGTTGCTAACAGAATTGGCTAAGCTCTTGTAGACAGATTTGCAGCCAAGTTCTGTATCCTTGGAAGCTTTTCATCTCATGGTTTGCACAATCTAAAGACAAATGGAGATGAATAAAACTGAAGGCCTCTTTTTAAGGCTTTCTGTCAGTTACATGGGTGCACAGGTTGTATATTTGGCTGTGCCCTACCTGTAGTGAAAACAGGGCAGTGATCAACTGATGTATGTTAGACATGAAGACGTGTGTGTTCTGCTTTTACCACAAGAAAGGATGCTGAATAGATCTGCAGTTATAGCCCATTAAGTTAGCTCATATATCTGCATTTCCCCCAGGCACTTGAGGAGAAGCAGTTGCTTCGGACTCAGTTAGCTTCATATTGAGAGGAGGGGATGGTCTTCATAGGTGAAAAGCAAGTACTGTCAGTTGAGTCTAATGGGAAAATGGTATGCAGCTTGACAGAATATTTAATCCAAAGCAGGGAGAGGCCCAAAGAGCTGAAATGAAACATGAGTAATGGAGTCAAATGGACAAAATTGTAGGGGCATGTTAAGAATTGTCTTCCAGCGTGTAGCTAAGTGTCTGGATTTGGAGGGA